TTTCTTAATAATAAGCTATACTCATTGAAAATCTCTTGATATATTTTATAATCCTTAAAAGAGCATCCCATTGTTTCTTCTTTGAATTTTGCATATGTTAACTAACCACACTATGTGTCTTCTTGACTACCAATAAATGATTTCCCCAACCTCTTTGTAAGATCATAGAAGAGCTAGAGCTAGAAGTTACTATTACATAGAACACTAGAGACAACGGCAAGAAATATGAGATGGGAGCAAGACGTTAAGATCAAGCCTACTACTGTAATTATAGAGTTACTAATGTAATATTGCATTAAGGAATCTTAATAGCATTTCTTCCTTAAATGAAGGATTTTTTTTTTCTTGAGTATTTGTCTCCGTTTATGAGATATGATAAATTTTATCTCTGTTTATGAGTTATAATAAATTGTACCATACAAGTGTGGTATAACCAAAAGCATGGTTTGCCAATAAAATGATTGAATTACATGGCCAAATGACTCAACCATAATTAGCGAGCCTGAGCTAATGAACATCTCCATGAATAAATGGAAGGTGCTCCACGTCAATTATACCCACGGTGGCTACATGGGGAAAAATGATGACATTTGAGGTTACTGTGGGGTTGTTTGGTTGGGAGAAAAGTGAATGCAAAGTATAGTAAATGCTTTGCTTTTTCACTTTTTGGTGTTTGGTTGGTCACGAAATAAAATAAAGTTTTGAAGTATTCATAACCCCATGCATTAATTTATTTTTTTTTGTAAAAAGAACTCGCTCAAAAACGAGCGAAAAAACGAATTCCGTGGGGGAGAGAGAGCAACCCACGGAACACATCATTGTTTCTTCCTCTGACGGGAACCATCGTCAGGGTACCCAAGAGTGGAGACCTCAGCCTTTGCTGCCTTTCTCTTGTAAAATCACGCCCTTCCTCTTTCGTTTGCTCTATTGTGCGTGCAAGGGTCTGTCAATCCATATGATTCTTCTAATTCGCCAATATCTGCTTTGAAGTGGCATATGGGGTTGGCCTGATCGAAGCGGCAGACCAGATGAGATGCTCCTTCTTCGCTCCGAGGTATGCCTTTCCACTTCTGAGCTGCAGGAAGGCCGTACCACTTCTGTGTTTTATTTATTTTGGGAATGTTAAACCAATTGGTGCTTATGTTAAGAAAGGTAGGGGTAGACCTAAAAACACTTGGTTAGAAAATATTAGAAATGATCTTTCTTTATTAAATTTAGATGAGAATTTGACTTTTAACCGAACACAATGGCGAAAAAGGATTCATGTAGCCGACCCACGTAGTGGGACAAAGGCTTGATGTTGTTGTTGTTGTTGTTAAACCAACTGGTGATCAGTTGGGGGATTCAATATGACAAATAAATTCAATTTGGGAACATGCGCACTAGGTGCTCGATTGAATGTCTCATCCAAACGAGCATCTCATTTTTCTTTACTCTGCATATACCCAACCAAACAAAAAAAGAAGTTCCCCTGCATTCACTTTACAGACAACCAAATTGCCTCAACTATTTACTTTACACTGTATTTACTTTACATTGTATTTACTTTATACTACATTCACTTTACAAACAACTAAATAGCTTCTGTGTAAAAAATGAAAGTATGAATGAGCATGCATAACTTCTTGGGTGTCCTTTCTAAGGAGATCCTACATGTTGTTATGTTTTATATGTGATGCCAATTACACTTTGTTTTATGATAACTTAATTTCATGTTGGCCTTACGAACATATTGAAGCTTACCCTTGAGTTTTACTTAACATGCCATGCCTTTCAACTAAGTTATCTCATATTTTTTATTTATAATTGGGCATCATATAGGCAAGGATGAAGATGAAAGTGGTTTAGCGATAATAAGTATAAAGGTATGTTGGACCAAGTGACAGTTAAAAGTGTTTTGCTCTGACCATTTTCCTTCCTCAATATTTAGATGGGAAGATTAGACCTTTTTCTTGCAAAATTTTTTAGGTTTTTACTTCATGATGTAATGATGATTGTAGAATGCTTGTGGGCCCAAGGCCATCTTTTGAACATGATGAATCTTTTTATTAATGTTGAGTCATTCTTTTCTTGCCAATTGAATATCTTCTTGCATAAACCAGTAAATTTTCACTAGATATAGCACTTTTCATATTTCATTATTCCTAAATGCTTTAGTCGTGCCAAGTTCTTTTCCAATAAGAACTACTTTACAACCTCACTAGTATGCTTCTCTTCTCACCCAAGAAAAGTCTTATCTACTCCATAATGATTCAAACTCACAAAAAATCTCTTTGGAAGGTTTAGGAGCATTATGTGCCTCTAACAAATAAATTCACATAATTCATCATCAATAACATGAGTTGCCATAAAACTATCTTTGCTTGGGTAACAAGAAATAACATTCACATCACTTGAGCACTCAATATTTAAAGTTCATCGAATCCTTCTTTTTAAAACAAATAATGGGGTATTTAATAGTACTTAAATTGATACATGGCAACCTACAATATACGATGGCATGAAATCGTTTGTTATTCTCAATTCACGGTCATATTAGGGCATTAATTTTGTCAGTTTCTTACTCATTTTATTTATTTTAGCAAACTAATCTAGAAAATAAAGACAATGACATTACTAACCTGCATTGCAAAACTCATATGAACTTTTGCACTCTTAATAGAATAAGAATAATATAATTGAGCTTTTAAAATGACATGCACTAAAGATAAAATATCCAAACTTACATTTTGTTGGAGAATTAAGACAAACTTATGTCAAGGTAGTACTACATTAAGAGAGCATACAACAAAAAAATTGATAAGAAAAACTTGGTGTGAAGCAAGCAAACGTTTGCTTGCAAATTATGAGAAATTTATTTTGACTTTTTTTTTTTTGACCATGAGAAAAGCGAGGACAAAGGGAATAGGGAGAAAGGATTGAAAGTGAATGGGAAGAAATACTGCAAGAAGATTGTTCTAATAGCCAGCTTATGCGTTCAAAACATGGTTAAAGCATCAATAGGGGTGGAGTGAGGGAGGCCTATGGATGTACGAGCCCCCACAAAAGTAAAAAAAAAAAAAATTAATAATTTTTATGTTGAAGACATGCACATAAATTTAAAAGTATAAATTATTAAACTAATTAGGTTTAGTTTTTCAATAATTTTCCCATTTTTAATTAATGAAATTAAATTAAATATGAGAAAATATTTAGGTTATAATATATCATGAGAGCTTCCACATCAAAACCAAGCAAATGATATTAACCATTGAAATGTTTGCATCCAAAAATATGAAAAACATACATAATAAATTGTAAATTTTTTATCATCTTACATTTAATATTTTATCTTTTTAGAATAATAAATTCAACAACAATTTAATATGAAAAACTTACATAATAAATTGCAAATTTTTTATCATCTTACATTTAATATTTTATCTTTTTAGAATAATAAATTCAACAACAATTTTTTTTAAACAGACAATGTCAATTCCAAACCCAGATAAAAACAATTGAGGGAAATTTTTAAGAAAAATCAATTTGGGCCCCTGCTACCAAAACTTTATGGCTCCACCATTGGCACCAAACTTAATAGCCTAAGGAGATATACCAACATAAGCATTTTCAAGATGGAAAATAAACAACAATCCAAACTGCATAGAGTTCTTCTCATTACTTTTTGTATACTTTTTTTCATTAACCAAAGTTATCTATTCTCACCACTACGAATTGCTTTGTTTTATCTTTTAATTGCACAATTTATTATTACCAATCACATCTCCATTTAATATTATTTTCAAATCTAATAATATTGGATCACGTATATTCTGTTTGTATTCTAGTTATTCTTGTGTCACATCTTTAGATTTTATAATTGCGTTAGCTAAATTCTTTTTTCGCCTACTCAAACTATAACATTTGCAAACTAGAGTAAACAAAGATGGCCTTCAACTTAAATTAATACCTTCCTAACACCATTCGAACTAGCCCTCGTATGAGCAAAATAAGGTAGTGTAAAATAAATAGTTATTATATTAAATAAACACATTCCAATTAGTAATACTTTTAAGGAATATATAAAATAAAAATCATCACATTGAAGTATGTTAGCAAAAAATAATAAGCTTTCACGTTACATTGCTTTCCAAGTTTCAAAATCTTACTAAAAATATTATCTTAAACAAAATATCCAAAACATATGCTTAGAATAAGTTAAATGGTAAAAAACATTTAAGTTAGTAACATGCAATGCCTAAAGATATAATAATCTTTACCACCTTTATTCTATCTTAATTATCATCCAGGTTCTCTCATGGAACATTGGATCAATGACCCACTATCCCTTCATTTGTTTACTCAAACTTGTTCACTTATTACTTAAAAATATTAATATAGAACCTAAATTAGATCTAACTTATTTTCTAATACACGTTCATATTTTTCTAACTCTTGATGCTCTTTCAACATCACGCAAATTTGCATTATAGCCTAGCATCTTATTAAGGCATTAACCAAGGTAATACTTTTGCAATGGCACGCACTAGGGAGGCGTACAAGAAGCTACGGTCTCATCTTGCTTAACTTGATTTCCATGATAAGCACTCAACTCAACTTTAATAGCAATAAGCAAAAAAGCATGCATCAAACAACTCCTTGTTTAATTCAAACATACAGTTATTATTCGCATCCACTTCTAAGTTCTATCATTCTTCATTTGTTTGCAACTTTCCAAACACCAGTTTTCACATATGAAAAATTCATAATTACAATATTGATAATGAGATTTTTTTTCTTTTTCTTCATGAAAAGGAAATCAAACTACTCGTTTTCACTATTTCGATTTGCTATGAATTATAATATATGCATATATACTTTAATCAAGGTGTGAAATCACTTAAAATTCATATGCAGATAGAATTGCAGACATTAATATGTCAGCGCAAAGTCTGAAAAGTTCAAAGGGCTGGGGATGAATCTATCAGTTTTAAGCAAACATGAAATAGTATTATAAGTACCATGCAGCTGGAGAAATCTCCAGTCATGAACTTGGAGAAGTGCATCTTCTTCACATCAACATGGTCCCAGTAGAAGTGTTCCTCAAACTTCCTACAGTGCTCCTTCCATTTCTTGCAATGCCTACATTCCTCTCCCATTACAAAAACCTGGTTGAAATGGAAAAATGTAGGGAAAAAAATACCAAATACCACATAGACCAGGGGTTAGAAAAAAGAATCTTCAAACTACTGAAGCAACCATTATTCTGAATTAATTGGATGCACCTTTTTAACAAAAAAATTAAAAATAGCAGTTATTTTCAGAAGCAACAGCTAAAGAGAAAGAAAAATGTAAAATGGAATACAAATCATGTATAGGAGAAGCTCATTCATTCATTTTTTTTTCATGTGTGTAACTCAAGAACATTGAAACTTTAATAGAACATAAAGACCTCAAACCACACCTACACACACACACATATATATATATATATAATATATAATATATATTATATATATTATATATATATATATATATATATATATATATATAACAAGTGAGTTTTCTGTATTACCAGGTGATATTATCTTCAAAGCCTTCGAAAAATGGTGGTCATGGAGACACTGCAAAAAGAATAAAAGGTTTAGGTCCATTCAACTTGCATTTCATTGATGGGGAAGAGAACAATATACTGCAATAATGTCAAAGAAAATAACGGACTTAGCAAAATCTATTAGCCGAAGAAGCGAGCGAAAGGGAAAAGTTACTTCACAGCCAGCGAGGTCCCGTTCTTGCTTCCGATCAAAATGTCGAAATTTCCGATCCGACAGGAAGGGAAGACGTCGAAGGAGCGAAGTTGAACGGCCAGAAGGAAACGAAAAAGCGCATGCAATCTCTACACCTCCTGGGAAGCAACGAAGCCTAACAGCAACGACTAAAAGAGAAGATGAAAGGCAAACCTAGACGCTCTTTAGTTATTATTGATTAACTTAATTAATATATTTTAAAATACTAATAAATAACTAAAATAATTAAATAATTAATTGTATAATTAGTGCATAATTATTATCTAATTTAACTTAATTGTACAATTAGTAATTAAATATTAATAGAAAGCTAATTAATATAACTAATATGTATGTATTATTAAATATTTAATTAATATGTAAAAATAATTAATGAGTAATTTGTACTTAATATGTTATTAAATTTATAACACATTTATTTTTTTAATTATAAATTTATTTTTTAATTATAATTATATTCTTCACATTTAATTCCAACTGTCATAAATCCTGAAATATGTTACCAAACAGTTTCTAAGGATTTAACAAGATTAACATTTAACATACCAAACATTTTCAGGATTTAACACATTTGATTTACTAAATCCGGATTTACAGATTTACTAAATCCACTAAAGTTAAATCTCACTTGTTGCCAAACAGCCCCTTAGGGACACTTTATTGTGATGTGACTTGCTCTAATTTATCTTTACTCAGAGAATAATTTTTTCTATAATAGTATGAAAATTAAAATGAAAGATAGCACAAATATGAAATTTTAGCTGAAAAAAATATTATAATAAACTTTAAATTAAAATTTATTTTAAGATGATTATAATATAAATTATTTATACTTATATTTAAATAAATTTAAAAATTATGAAGCTTATTCTAATTATATAAATTAATAATTTCTTTTTGTATGAATTAATTTGGAAAGAAAACTAAAGAACATAAACTTGAAATATATATGAGTTTTTGTTGGTTACCAAATTGAGAACAATATTTTTTCTTAGTTGGAAGGACAATAATGCTTGTCGCCACCCCACTTATGAAGAAGATTAGGACAAAATTTGGGGCGACAACTGTCATGATCGATATGGAAATTGTGGTGATTAGCGGTGTCAAGTTAGTCACTACTAGGAGTGCCAGTCCTCTTATGTGGATCACCATGACAGTGCGTGAGAAAGAGGATGACTTATCGTTACAATTGAAGAGGCAAATCTTATTGAGCGGACTAACAATGGGAAGTGTGGAGGAGGTCGCCTACATTGGAGAGGGTGTGAGTGCACCCACAACACTTTCGAGAATATATAAGTGAAAGAATGACAAGTTCATTTACTTAAAAATAGTATTATTGGGAAAATGGGTGCTCACCATATGAAAGCCCAAAAGTTGTGTTTCCTTAATAGAGTTATTGTAGCATCCTTCGAGTGAGCAACAAATAAAGGCTCTAGAGCGATGGGTGACTTTCCAGTATCGAAGGGAAACTGTTCTGCGAGATCGACTCAAATATTTTTACTTTTTTTTGTTAAACCCACTATAGGGGCTTACACGTTAATATAAAAAATTTGCTACAAAAGTCCTTAAAAGGGATAAATTGCTCACTAAATGCTCAAAAGAGCTACAATATAAAACAAAAATAAACCTAATGAGCAATGAGTTCCTATCTAAGATACAATAATAAGAAAAAGAAAGGCAAATAAGCACAAGTAAAAATCAACCACCCAAGCATAGATCAATCCAAAGCATAATTCATCCAAACCACAAAGCAGTTAACCTGCATAAAAAAAAATATAACCTGTAGAAATTAACCTCAAAGAAACAAAATAAGCAATATCCAGTAGAATTGAAAACAATAAAGAAAAGAGCATAATTTAAAAAAGATTCCCTCCAATACTAATAGTCCTAATGCCACAAGAACAACCACAGCAACAAAACCCCCATTAGCCAACCTACAACACAAAACACACAGACCCCCCAAACCACCTCAGCCCACCCAACACACCAAACCACCAAGCCCAAAACAACCTAGAAACAAAACCCCACAGCCCAGCCAACATAGACAACCAATAAAACCCCCCAAACCACCACAACCCACCTAGCACACCACCACACACAACCAAAACAACCCAGAAAATAAAACCCAGCCCACAAAATAAAACAATACAAAAAACCACCCCCCACACACCCAATAACCAACAAAACAACCCCCACACTAACAAGTAACAACAGAACTAAGCACTAAAGGGAATCCAAATCAAATTACCACTCAAAAGAACAATTATTTTCTCAAATAAGGTAAACCAGATTTATCTAATCTATTCAAACCTTTTAGTAAAAAAGGAATATTAGAATTATCAAAACAAGTTAAAGAAATCAACTCAGCTCCCATGCGTGCCAAAAAATCAGCACAAACATTACCTTCTCTCCAAATATGAGAAATAGAATAATCAACTTGAGAAACCATACTTTTAATATCCCTAAGAAAATAAAAAAAATATATGCATTACCAAGTTTAGGACAACTAAGAAAATGAAAAACTAATAAAGCATCTACTTCAATCCAAAGCCTTGAAAACCCCTAGATAAGGCAATTTTTAAAGCATGATAGAGATCCTTTAATTCAGCATACATGACATACAAAAAGAAAGAGGGCAAGAAAAATAAATAGGGAAATTACCTTACTTGTCTCTCAAAGTACCACCACAACCAGACTTACCATTTGCCACTGAACCATCACCATTAATTTTAATGAAAAAATCCATCAGCTTTTTCCAATAGACAAACTTAAGACAATTATCAGTCTCATTGTCAAAGATCTTAGAACAAAGTTTCTTAGCCATAGCCTTATAGCCACAAAACTTACTAATCTTGAAAAGATGAGCATTAAAGAGTAATAATCTTATCTTTGGCTCTAACAATAATTCTCTTATGGTTCATAGAAATGTTTCTATATTTGATTCCTATCCATCCAAATAAACCAAATGAGAGTAACAGCCATAACTACTTTAATGTGACCTCTAGTAGTACTAAGGAATAAAGCCGTAAGAAAATGATTAAATGAGAGATGACTCAAAAAAATAGGTATTAAAAAACTAATAATACCAACGCCAAATTTTAGCAGCAATAGCACCATTAATAAATAGATGATCAATACTTTCAATATGATAACAACATAAAAATTTAGAAAGTAAATAAAACCCTTTTTTCATCAAAACAGAATCCACATAAATGTACTTCCTAATTATTCTCCAAACAAGAACAGAATAAGCAGTTTGAATATTTTTACTCGAAATTCTATCAAAGATAACAGTCACATCCTTTTTCTCCCTAATGTAATGACAAACATTTTTAAAGATAAAAGAACCATAATAGGAAAGCTTAAACATAATCTGATCCTCAATACCAGCAAAACAACTCACCTCCTTAACTTTATTACCAATATCAGTCGACACCAGTTTCATAATAACATCCATATCCTAATTATTGTTATTAAAAAATGCTTAACTTTGATAGAAGAATAAGAAGAAGTAGAAAGAAGGACATTTATAGAATCATTACAAAGCGATCTATCTTGTCAAAAGAAAGAATTACCTGAGATTAAACCCCAAACAGTGAGAGGTTACACAATATGCCTAATAGCACACATTCTTTTCCAAATAGCAGAATCACTAAGCTTATATAAATAACATAAGGGATGCTTACCTTTGCAATATTTGAACGACATATATTTAGCCCACAAACTTTGATTCTTTCTAAAGTTCCACCACATCATAAAAGCATAAGCTATGATAGAGTCTGAAATTGTTTTACAGTCTAACCCTCCCTCATTCAACAGGCCACACAGCTTATGCCAAGAAGACTAATGAATTCTATGAGATTTGGAATGAGAACCCCAAAAAAATTATTGAGAATCCTTTCCAATCTATGAATAGTAGCAACATTAGGCTTAATAACTTGAAATAAGTGAAACACCATAGAATTTAAAGTACTCTTAATAATAGTAAGCCTACCACCATAAGAAGGAAAATTAAATTCCCAAGAAAAAATATAACTACAATCTTATAAAGAATCTCATTAAACAAGTGAGTTTTTTTATTACCTTTGAAAATAGGGGCACCCAAATATTTGAAAAGCAACTTTTGATGCAAGAAGTTAGTATAAGCACCAATCCTATTAATATTAGATCTAGAAATTCCTTTAGAAGTATAAAAAGAACACTTATTAGCATTAAATTGGAGACCACTCTCCAAAGAAATTAAACCAAGAAGATCCTTGATTTTCTTAACATGATTAAAGCTACCATTAGTAAAAATAATAAAATCATCCGTGAAATAAAGATGGTTTATGGGTAAACAACCCTTAGATCTAAAATACATACTAGGACAACTCTCAAAAAGAATATTTAAAAATCTAGAGAAATATTTTCATAGCAATTATAAAAAGATAAGGTGACAAAGGATCACCATGCCTAACACCATGAGAAGAATGAAAAAAATCTTTGGAAGCTCCATTGAATAAGATTGAAAACCAAACATTTTCAATTGAATTCTTAATAATACCAATAAAAGAATCAGAAAAATCAAATAAAGAAAAAATATAATATAAAAACTCCCAGGACAAGTTATCATAGACTTTAAAAATGTCCAGTTTAAAAAGCAAATTACATCCTCTTGTTTTCACATCCAAATTTTGAACCAACTCTTGGGTCAGCAAAATGTTATAAAAAATAAGTCTCCCTTTTACAAAACCAGATTGATTATGAGAAATAATTTTAGGTAAAAGATTGCATAACCTCAAAGCAATAATCTTAGAAGTAAGCTTATTGAAAAAGAACAAAGACTAATAGGCCTAAAATCAGCCCAAGTGTCTGAATTCGCCTTTTTAGGAATTAAAACAATAACAGTAGAAGTATAAAGAATTTAGGCATCTTATTACCTTCAAAGAAATCAACCACATATGTAATAAAATCAAATTTAATAATATGCCAACATTTTTGAAAAAATAAAGAAGTAAACCCATCAGGTCCAGCCGTCGAAT